GGTAACTATATTGCCACCTTTCTGTTGCGTTTCAATTCTTGTGTATTGGTGTGGGTGCTATTTTGTTTTCTATGTTGTATTTTGTATTTTGTATACTGTTATTTGTCTTTGGCAACGTTCTTTTCGAACTATGGCATTGTCAGTTTGTATTCGACTTATGAGTGTAAATATCCCTTTGGTATCGTTGCCTCTCTTTTTTCAAATCTAACAACTTGAAGATTGAATAAAAATTCATATTACATTCGAATGTTTATTTTGAAGTTTTAAAAATACCTTAGACATTTTCAAGAAAACATATTACTCAAGGATGTCCTTTTTCTTCGTATCGAAATATATCTTTTTTCTCCTTTTCTTCATGTAGACAACACACAAAATAATTGATATTGATTATGAATTAACCTAACAAGATATTTTTGGTTTTTGGTTATGCTATTTCACTTACCAAATCCCTTCGTTTTTTTTGAAATCATAAGATAAAAGTACACAAACTATGTTGTTTATTCGTGAATGATTGATCGATGTTTACTTACGTTCAGTGGCAAATATTTTATGGATATTTACAATACATGTACGTGTTACATGTTAATTTTTCAGTAGAGCCATGCAAACTTGTATGTCCTAAAGGTACAGGCGGTGCATGCGTTGAGAAGTGTCAGTAAGGTCAGCCAGGTGAATGTAGTCCTGGACATCTGTGTTGTTCTAATGGTTGCGGCCATGTGTGTATGAAAGCAAATAAATTATGCTGGTAAGATTTGTCTAAGTCCTTGTGGTAGTTTTTTTTTATCTTAAAAGTACTATAAATAGTTTAAATATAATACACATTCAGGACGAAAACAAATTATTAATAAATGGAATAGGTAGGTTCCTCAATAGGGTTAGCATGGATGTAGGGTAGTAATTTTGGTTTGAATCTGGGCAATCAGGGTATTTTGCATAATGACATAAAAACAGCTTTGTAACATGCCCCTTGGGAACCCGTCAAAGACACGTTGCTAGGTTTCTTAACGTTCAGAGAGGTGACTCTCTCTCTCTCTCACTCAACGAAACTTCTGATTTCAGTGGTTGTCGTAATGTTGTTGTGGTTCATAGGTGTTTCTCTTTTCTCGTTTTTTATATAGATTAGACCGTTGGTTTTCCTGTTTTAATTGTTTTACACTTGTCATTGTGGGGCCCTTTATAGCTTGCTGTTCGGTGTGGGCCAAGGCTCCGTGTTGAAGGCCGTACTTTGACCTACAATTGTAAACTTTTTATTCTTTTGAACTTGGATGGAAAATTATCTCAATGGCACTCATACCACATTTTCTTATTTATATTGTATTATCAAATGAAAACTTTAAAAACCTTAATAAGATATCTGTTGTATCCTTTATTTCAAGTTTATTGGTAGTTTAAAACCATCAATGCAATTAATTATTTTATGACCAACGTATGTCAATATTGATAATTGATATAGAGCTATTTTTATGCACGTCTGTAAATCAAGTACAGAAAAAATAATCTCGTTCAACCTTCCCGTTACTTACAAATTCCCTTGATTAAATTGGATCTAATGTACAACTTTGAAATTCTTAAGCATATATTCTGAAATTAGTTGTCGGATTTCGTTTACTTAATAGATAAATGTGCACTGCAAAGTAAGCAATCTTATAAAAGATCTGATTTTTTATTATTTTGTTGGATGTAAACAGAACTCAAAGGGACTATTCAGAAATTTTCATACTTGAATCGCGAAAGTACATTTTAAAACAACTTGAAGATAACACCTTTTTTATACAGAACTTCACCCTTTTGTATAAGGATATTGGAATGACACACTCCTAAACTTTAGAATTTTCCCAAATACTTTCTATATATACATGTACAATCCGTCATAAACGAATACGTGTTTTATACGTGACATCTGCAACATCTCTGGGTACAATGCCTCTGTATGTATCGATCAGGCTTACAATTATTGTCACATTAAACTTTTATGTCTGTTTGGGTTGCTTACTCAATTTTTTCAATATAACGGAAATAAAAACAACTATCATCCAAGTTGGAGGTTTATATATATCTATTAAACCAGTTTAAATCACTATTTTCTTCGGAAAATGCCTGTACCGAGTCAAGAATATGGCAGTTGTTTTTCACTTGTTCCGTTGATTGATAGCGTTTTATTTTGTCAGTTGTTTATTAACTTTCCTTTTTTGAATTTGCCTTAGAGTTCCGTATTGTGCAAACGCATCTAAACTCTCTTAAATCAGGTTTACTTTATAGAAGAATAGAAAGAAATGCGAGTGAGACAGATTTTTTTTGTAACCTCATTGTAGGAATCGTCGTTTAGCATGTTCAGGCCAAGAAACAGGAATTGAAAACTGATTGCAAAATGCAGGAAGTTGTAGGATATTCAGTAAAAGTACATTTTGTAACTCTTAAAGCACTTAAATATCTTACTTGACATTTCTATGAAAATATCCAGTTTTATTGAATTTTTGTGATTAATTAATTTACAAGTGTAAACAGTGTCACTTCTCTGGACGTATTTACCTCCAGAAATAAAATAAAAAATGATGATGGGAGTTTTTAACGACCTTGTCTGGCTATACAGCCCTCGCACTGTCGGAAAATAAAAAATAAACATTTCAATCAATCGTTTTGGCAAACAAAATTTCTGCATTTCTTCAATATTCTTGATAAATTTTGGCGTAAATTTTCCCAAAGCACATGCAAAAGATATAATAACTCTGCAGAATTTACAATTATGTTTAGCAACCTTGGAATTTGGGAAGAAATCCTTTATTTTAATATTATGTTAGGATTCATTTTGTAAACAATAAATGTTTGTTTTGTTTGGTTTTCAGATAAACCAGATTCTGTATTTGGTGTTGTTATTGCTACCAATGCAGAGATACAGTTTACAAATTCAAAAATAAATCCTTGAATAAAGGCCTCACATTAATTTTGTAGGTTGTAAATAAAAACAAAAGACAACAATAATGAAAGAGTCATAATGATGAATCTTTTGTTATCTTTATATTTCTGGAATAAAGATATCTTCAAAATTATTTTTAATTCTGACGGTTCATTGATATTAAAACTCTACATTGTTGACATCCTAATGTTTTTGAAGTCTGTTTAAAGCGAAAAACTAATCGTTATCATTATCAAAGGAACATCAAGTTGACATTTAAATTATTTGTTCTCGCCCTTCACCGTCAGTTTAATATTTTGCAAATATTCTTGTAAAAAGGTTGTGATTACATCAGTTTAAGTAGAAGCACTTTTTGAAGTCAATGTTATTTGGTATGAAGTCTCTTAAATTGTACTGTATCCGGTCTGCCCATTCTTTCATTTTAGCTTTCTTTCATTGAGAGTTTAGCCTGAACCTTGATGGTGATGAAAATCTAATTTAGTTGAGGACCAGTGTTATAGAATTGTTAAATAAGTAATGACTGTAATGACATCATGTGTTAGCAAGAAATGTGCAGCGTCTACCTCCGAACAAAACTTATGGTATTTAAGGTGGAGATCGTTTAGTGTCCGGGAATTGTTCCTTAGAGTGTTACTGGAAATCGAACAATACTCTCAGTAGTCTGTTCTAATGATCAGCTGAAAATTGTCCTCCTCTAGAATTTTAAATTATTAGACAATTTTATTAATAGAAATTGTGAAAGATTTATTGATTTTGTTTGTCTTACAGATCTAGAAATACGTATGAAACTACTCATCTCTCGTAAGAAATTTAATAATAAATGATGAATATTTCTTAGGTCTCTTAATAACTACTGATTTGTTTACCGTGACTAGACCTTTTTTTATGATATTTGCGAAAATAGTAAACTATGTATTTTTAAGGAATGACTGTAATATTTTTTCTGCCTATGAAGAAATTACATAAGAAATGCGGTGCACACTGAATAACCAGAGTAGCGGGTTATTTAAATGTGTGCACCACATGTTTTAGATTATTTCGAATACACAGAATAAAATATTACAGTCATTTATTATAATTCAATTCTAGATTCCATTTTTAAGGTGTAAATTTTGAAAAAAAAACGTTGCTGACGTCACGGTCACATGACAAACTTATGTCTATGAGTTGATAGACAAAACACTTTCAGCTAATCAGAAGACGTTTTACATCCAAAATTAAATCATTTATTGATAGATGAATTCCTTTCTTGTTACTGATGACAATAATCACAGTATAACATTAAAAATTCGAAAGTACAGAAAAATCAAAACCTCTATTGGTCAGTTGATGCATCTAAAGTATAATTTTTCGGTTACTTTAGATTATAAAAATTAACTTTATATGTCTATGCATATATCTTATTCTGAAAACCTCCTTGTTATTCACATTTTAGCATAATCGAGGCAAAATTGTAAAAAAAAAATTCTTAAATTGCACCGGACATTACCCCCTTGTTTGATCCAATTGCGTGATTTAGATTAAATGCAGGTGTAATATAAGTATGATCTTAATTACACATTACACTTGTGATTTATTTTAAATCAGTCTCATAATATTGAGAAAATTAAAACTATGCTCGTGCTTATGACAATTTGAACATACACCTCTGGTATCTTTGATGATGGTTTTGTGTAATAAGCAAGTAAGGAAGGGTCTCAAATAATTACTGTCAAACCTTGTCGTTATCTTTATGTGAACTTTCTTCTCGTAAAAATATATATGTTTAAATGACACCCTCACACAAGAGCTGTATGTTACTTTTGTAAAACACTTGTGAAGATTTGTGCCTCGAATCTTTTATGTTACATGTATGTACAATATCTCATTTGAATGAAACCGCAAAGTAAGTATTTCATCAAATACCCCTTTTAAATCATTTTGTCAGACAATAGGCTGTTGCTCTGTTCGCATGCAATTTTACTCCTTCCTCATAAATTTTCATTGCAATTGAAGAATTTAAATAGCACGAGTTATTTCGGATAATCAATTTTGTTCACTTATTTGAAAAATAACAATGAAGGACATACTAAATGAATGAAGACGATACACTTAATACTTTTTACTTGAGAAGACGTTCCATTCCAAAGTCAGTGTTAAGGCAAAGACAAATATCAAAAGAACAACTGTCCTTTATCTGAAATATAACTTTTTCAATCTGGTAGCCTACAACATAAAAGAAAGCAAGTATAGTATTAAAATTATATTACTACTACATGTACATGTTAGCAACTTTAAACAAACACTTAATACCCATTTAAATATTTTAATCCTACATGTTATATAACTTATTTTCATCATTTGGTCGTTCGATTCGTTGGAATTTGTTTTTATTAAACTATATCCATTGTTTCTCCGGTACCTTTTGGCAACATTTTTGATTTTTTTGGGGTAGCTTTCGTTTTCATGTTTAGATTTATTTGTTTTTGATTAAGCGGTGGCGATGGTTTGCGGATAATTTGTTTTTGTCGCATAAACATTTTGTTGATATATATATATTATATAGCTCTTCACACTTTGTTTATCCGACATCAGACATGGGGTCTATTACTTTTGAAAGTAATTAATTACATTCGAATACAATTACAAAATCTTCGATTAAATTGTAATTAATTACTGTCCAATTACTACATGGCAAATGTAATTAATTACCTTAAATACTTCTGAAAGGAAAAAAAGATATAATATTGAAAACATGCATTGATTCCATGATATGTACATGAGTATCATACATTGCTTTATAGTAATAACAAATGAAATCTACAGCGACTATTTTCAAATTCAGCCAGTATCAAAGAAGAGATAAAGTTAGATTTCTGGTGTTTTACGGGAATAAAGAAAGAAAAAAAAAAACACACATAAATCTGAAGTTCACTTAATACTTTGTCTATCAGAAATCCCTTGGACTAAAGGAATGGTTTCATTTAGTGCTCAAAGTGATAAAAAGCCGTTTCAATATTTTGAAAATTTTAAATTTTGTTTTTATTAAAATTTTATATTTTAATGAACATGATGTATTTCATTGAAAATGATACAAAAAGAGATCCCTAATTTTAATATTTTGAAATGATTTTTTATTCTGATCACAACTTAGTAAAATAATTTTTCCTAAAGAATCTAGAAAGCCTGACTTTTTTAAAAATATACTTTAGTTTCAATCACACTCAATTGATTTAAAAAACAATCATGTACCTAGGGGTATATTTATCTCTCTCTAATTGTCTTAACACCTGTTTAACATGCAAACATAACTGTTGTAAAAACAGTCATTATATATTTTAAAATAAAACAAATGTACGCAACAAGCTAACTAAGGTATAAGACAATGTTTTTTTTTCAAACACAAATTATGCCATGTTTCAACAATCATTTTCTTTTCCTTCTTTTTTAATTTTTGCTCATTCATTACAAAATAAAAAATCTCCCATGGTTGTGTAATTACAGAAAGTATACTGTGTAAGCTTTCCTTTTTCAGCTAACTACATTTACTAAGGTCATGGCATTTCATCATTTTTGAGAAAACACAAGATTAAATCTTTCTGATCCAAAATTACAAATTTAATTGAGTTGTAATTGAAAAGTAATTGTCAATTACAGAAATTTTGGCTATGTAAACCATTACTTTCAAGCACTTGTAATTGAAAAAAATGCTCAATTACACATTACATTCATTTACTTGAGAAATTGTAATTAATTACGGTCAATAACAATTACATATTTCAATTACCCCATGTCTGTCTGAAATAGTCTTGATAATGGGTTAAGTTGGGTAACAGGTTTTTCAAATCCTTTATATATGAATATACAGTCACAATAAGTTAGGCTATCAATATTGGATCCAAGGCTGTTGCTTTTTGTGTGTTTTTGTTTTGGCTGTACCTGTACTGTTTTTGTGTCATTGATGATACCCTCATTTTCTTTGTTTTTCATTTGCAGATATCATGTTTTTCGAATTCAAACTACATACCATTTTTTTTTTGCAACAGATGGGAATTTCCACAAATTTAGAACCATACGTTTCTCTTATATAAAAATAACTGCCTACGGAATGTAAGGTTATTCAGCCAGTATTTTGTAAGTTTGTTGAATCAAACAAACCAGCCGGTTTAAATTTACACACAGTGAATTTGTTAAATGCTTGAAAAACAATAAGAGCTGCTTTTTCAAGAAAGGCTAGACTGTAGGCATTGCAACAACTTTAAATATGTTATAACTAGTTGCTCATGCTTCATCATTTCTATATGAATTTTGAATTTAAAAAACTCAATATGCCAACTACTGAGTTATTTTGTCAAAATCAATTTTTGGTTTTTATTTATGCGATTATTTTCTCACAGTAAAGAAATGAACCACATGGGATGTTGGGTGAATGTAAATGTGACAGCAACTAAGCACCAGTAGAAGCAAAAAAAAAAACCAATTCATACGTCCAATTTTGGATAAAAATCTTTGATTGTTTATCAAAGGGTACCAGTACACATAAACTAACCAGTAGAAATTTTCACAGAGTACGTTAAACACAATTAAATTTACATAGTGGAGTGTACTGAATCAAGGGCGATGTAAACCACATAAAGCTAGGTCCGAAATGAAGCTTAAAAGGTAAACTACCATAACTTATTCGTTTCTGATGAATGTACGCACACCTTTTAAAGACTATGGACTATATAGAGCTTACAATATTTTAAAGAAACCTGCATGTTGCTTTATATAGGTAAAGGAAGATGTAGTATGAGTGCCAATGAAACAACTCTCCAACCAAGTAACAATTTATAAAAGCAAACCATTATAGGTCAAAGTACGGCCTTTAACACGGAGCATTGGCTCACACCGAACATCAAGCCATAAAGGGCCCCAAAAATTACTAGTGTAAAACAATTCAAACGGGAAAACCAACGGTCTAATCTATATAAAAACGAGAAATGAGAAACACGTATGAACTATATAAACAGACGACAACTACTGTACATCAGATTCCTGACTTAGGACAGGTGCAAACATTTGCAGCGGGATTAAACGTTTTAATGGTACCAAACCTTCTCCCTTTTCTGAAACAATAGTATAACATGACAACATAGAAAGACACACTATAAAATATCAATTGGAAGGCTTAACTCAATCAAAAAACGTAAATTAACACACGATGAACGAATAAATTTGATCTTAGATACCTAAATGCAAATACATAGTTAATAAAAATTATAAGGGATAAATAATTAAGGTCAAAAGTAAATAAACAGGTTTAAACAAAGTTAAAGTATGATACCACTGAGAAATGTTAAACAATATTTAGAAAATCATCACTTTTGAAAAAACCTGCGTCATATTATACACAGGTAAATGAAAATAATTTTGTTCTTAAGTATACTTCTTCTTCTGTGTGTATAAAATCTTCCGTTTAGGAATATCATGAAATTTCTTTAATATCAATAAAACTAATTTAACACTTGGTGCATATGGGGTGAATATCCTCAATAAAACTATACAATAAGTGCTAGATAAAACTTCCTGTACAGTATTTAAGGAGAAATGAAATAATTTTGATGTTCATAGTACGAAGAAGTGAAAATTAGTAGTAATATCAAATAATCAAAGCTGGTATATAGGCAAGATCCATGTTAACATTGAATAACAAACAAGCATTACAAATAGTATCAACAGGTCAAATTAAAAAGAAAGTACGATTTGAGAGTACTCGCAGTTACTTATGCATGTATCACAGTTGTTATCGATGAGTTGCATTTATTTTAATATTCAGGAAAGTAATGTATAACATTATCTTACCACATATGTAGGTGATTGCGGTTTTAATTGTTAATCCGAATTCCCTTTCTGCAATCTTTACCACAGCCAACTGAACAGCAAAGATATCCATTTTTACAACCAGTATGTCCACACATGTCAGCGCAGTGGCCGTGTCCATCCCCGGGAACAGGTGGACATTTCAGTGTATATTCTGTTAAATAAATGTATCAATAGCGTATATATGGATATAAATAACAATGATCACTGTGGCTTGTTTCTGAATTTTGATTGTTTATACTTAGGATGAAAATCAGTTTTTTTTAATATATAATATTGTTTTAACCTTTGAGACAAAAACGTTTCTGGTAAATAAAACTAAACAGATTTCCAACTCTACTTGCTAAAATGCATTTCTTCATATTTTACAATATTTTAGAAAAATGTAATTTTCAAAAAAAAGTAGGTTTTGTCTCTGTTTAAATATTTTATGATTTGATGGAATTGATAACAGTGTGAAAAACCGTACGATGAGTTTTGCGTTAAGTTGTACATTTTAGTGGCTATTGCAATGGCGTATAGCCAACGTATCATTTTATACAAATGTACATATAAGAATATTTTGTATATCCAACGATCGTAGTCATATTCATTAAAATTAAAACATTCCCACCCGGCAATAATATGAAAGCTAAAAATGGGCGTCTGAGATGCATAAATACGTAGCCAGGTCAGGTCAGAATCAGAACATTTAATATGATGTATCGAATAGGAACATTACAACATTCCCAGGAACCGTTGTTGCGAATAAAGATGTTTCTTTAACAGGTTCAATTTGATTGTCGACATATATCATGTAAAAATGCATACAACTGTTCCAATGCGGTACCCGAATTCTCTAGATTCAATAATTACACCTAATTAATTTCAAGGATCAGTTGGAGTACGATCATACTGAGGAATTGGTATAATGACATTATCCCCCACAGAAAGTTCTGATAATTTCAGTTTCATTTTCTTGGTTAGATTTTCGGCTTGGCTCTGTTGGCCAGACAGCGCACGCTTCCTGGCAGGTATAATTGGTGTGTCAACGTCATGCAGTTACGTCTTGATTTTCACTCGGGCCAATTTCTAATATACTATCAGAATTGTCACTGGGACCAATTTCTATTACACTATCTGAATTGTCACTGGGACCAATTTCTTTTATACTATCAGAATTGTCACTGGGACCAATTCTATTATACTATTAGAATTGTCACTGGGGTAAATTTTTATTGTACTATTAGAATTGATACTGGGGCCAATTTTTATTGTACTATCATAATTAACTGACATGCATGTATCAATTACATTTCCTGTCTCCATCTGAATATTTTTTGTATTTTGTAATTAAGGTTTATCGGGTGGTCATATAATAAAAATTCTATAGAGTGTATCAATGCTATTTTTATAACAAAATCCATACTATAAATTATTATACAAGTTATAAGTGAATTTAGTCAAATTTTGTACATATTGTAATTTGTGCAAGCGATTTTTGTACAAATAACAATTTTTACAAAGTCAAAATACAATTTATAGTTTGTACAATTTTTTTTTGTACATGTTAACATTTGTACAAAATGATAACTTGTACACAACATATACATAGATTAGCTTCGCTTATAAAGGATATATATTACTGAAAATCAAATGTCAATGAGTAGTATATGATAATTCTATATAGTTTAACTGTAATAACAGGTAACTGATGTATAATACATACATTTTTTCTCGATGAAAAATTGTATACTTGATTTTAGAATATAGCAAAGTGCTCTCCACCTATATAATTGTAGGATTTTGTGTTTCTTAGTTGTAAAGAATGAATGATGCTCTTAGTAATGGATATCCTATTGTTTAGGCCTACTTACAGTTAAAAAAAAGTTGCTATAAATGAGTTACAAATGCCCCGAAGCACATTTATCATAAAGAATTTGTGATTAAAACTGACTAAAAGATGACTAAAAGTTGAATTTTGAAGCAAATAAAAAAATCACAAAAAGATGAAATTTACTGTTGCAGTAACATTGGTACCGTGAACGTTATTATAAGAATATTAATAACTTCAAATTACTTAAACAATTACTCTTTCAAAAAGTCAGAATACTGGATCCGCGGTTGGTGAGAATAGTAATTTCCAATATTCTGATTAAATTCTAAAAAACGGAATTTAGTTTAACTTTTGAATATATTTTAAACTATTTTAATATTTCCCTGACATAATGAAATAGTATTTGATATAAAGTAAAATATAAAATTGAGAATGGAAATGGGGAATGTGTCAAAGAGACAACAACCCGATATATAAAGGACTGGATTGAAATATTGGCTGTAAAATAAAATGTATTTGCAACTCAAATTTTGAATTTATTGATTTGAACTGGAAATAAACAAAAAGATAATTCCTCGCTAGAATATTACATGATTTACATTCACACTCACAATCAGGAAACATTTCTAACCATTTCATTTTACTGTTGTGTCATCTTATGTCAAAAACACAATCTATTATACTTTCCAAAATTATAAGAAAGTCCTTACATCACTAAAACTAATCCATTGATTTTGAAAAGTTTTCAGCTGTATGACCCGTTTAAGCACTGCAAAAGGATATTACCAACTTATGATAAATACATTAATTAAACTTTTACTGAATACACAAATTAACGAAATATTTGTACACGTAAATGAATTTTGCCTTTCCAGTGAACGGCTAAGATTAAAAAGAAACAGAATAAAATGACTGGTTTTTATAATTTGTTTGATGTTAAACTACCAGGTTTGGGTAAAGCTTTGGCGCTCACACACCTGTTCTTTTTCATAGGCAAAGAGCCTATTGCTTTTTATTTAATGTTATCAGATAGAATCGAATTGATGTTTCAATTTTTTGACTCGATAAACATTTTCTATAACGTACTAGACTGTATTGGTTATGCTTGTAGCTCACTTTGTCATGTAAATTATATTTGGTTTGCTAATGGCTTATTTAATATTACCAGCTAGAATCGAATTGTTGTTTTACTTTTTTGACTCGATCTACATTTTCTATAATTTTTATATTAATCAAGACTTCATTTTTGTTTAGCTATTATATGAAACAAAATAACACGGATTATCAAACCATTAAATAGTGGTATGTTATATAACATGTCTAAGGGTTGTTATCTGAATAAATTGTCATTGATAACAAAACTGTTATCTATTTCCTTTTGTTCGTAATCATTCATTGGTTTTTTGTATGGATTACCGGAGTTATTTAAAAGTTTCACTATTCAATTGATTTTATGTTATGTAAACAAGGTAAACATGCATGTGCAGTAATAAATTCTGTGATATTTATTCAATAGTTTTTATATGCATGTAAGCTGCAATTGTATTCGCGTGTATTAATTTCGCGAATTTAAAGTTACAGCAAAATTCAATACAACACGAAAAAAGTACATAAACAGTATCATAATTTTTTGGGACTTTAATTGATAGTTGTCGCCTCGCAAATTTCGCCAAATCTCCCTTTTGTCATAAACTTGTTCTATCAATGCTTTATACTTAGTTTTGTTTAGCTTACTTATATTTATATCAAAACATTATTAAAAAACTTAATGTAGCAATGTCATCGGGTTCCTATTCGGAAATTTACTTTCCCTACAGTTTACTTTTCTGTTAATTTGACTTAAGATATGGCACAAAATAAAAGGAAAACTATCGTTTCTTGTCTGAGTTGAAAACTGAAAGTTCGGTCCTCTATGCAGAATTGACAATACCAACGTTATGAAACAACTGCTCTCAATTCTTTTCAAATATTTAGAAATCCGACTGTCTACACGCTGTTTATAACTGAATTTCCGTCGTCGGCATGTTATCTTATTATGACAGACGATCCTTTGACCCAATCTTATCAACACGTTTATTGATATACACAGAGGTATGCGCTTCTTCGAGATGATCTAAAAAGAACCAGTTGTAAATATTGGTTACCGATTAGAAGTTGTACAGTTTAATGCGGACTGGTTATTCAGTTTGTCATATTTGGCGTTCAACTGAGTTTACATCAACAGAATTAATCTAATGGACGACATTTCATGATTTGATTTTAATATGAATACATGAAAAAATATACGTACCTTGACTCGACACTTCTGTGTTAAAGAGAAATATCAGAAACACACTGATAAGAATTCTGCTGGTAAGTCTGAACATTGTGTTGTCTTTAGACTGACGACAGAATAATTATTTTAAACTGTATCATTTTTATATTTAATACATTACTTGTCAAACACTTAATTATTCAAAAACAAAAATAAGTTTGGGGAGTAACCACATAGGGTAAACATGTCCTAAATTAATACTACATGAACATGTAGACGCATAACAAATTAGCACACGCATTTTTTTTATGTCATTTATAAGTATTTATTACGTTCATTAACCTGGAACACTGTCACCTTATGCCATCAATGTAATTAAGACTCTTATTCAATTGAAAGTACATTTAAATATACTTTTTTGCATTGTTTAATACGATTTGGTTTCTTTTAGGGTGTTTCCACAAACATAATTAATGTCTTACAAGTAACGACTCTTTTGGAAAACAAAATACTATCATTCTTTCAAAGGCAACTTTTGGTATTACAGTTATTTTGGAATAAATGGAAACATATACAAAAGGGACAATGAAAAATCAAAAGTCGAAGAAAACACAACGGTATAGCAAAAAGATATTGCAGGAATGATGCTTAGATATCATGTTAAAAATATTATTACAGTTTTTATTCTTTTATGGGATGATAAAATTTGGAATATCAAAATATAACTTGTGAGGTTGCACTTGAATTCATTATTTCTTTCATAATACTAGCATTTCAAGTGCTTAAAAGTTTTTGTTAGTTAAACAATATTTTACATTATCGTGTTACTATCATATACCTGGTATGATCTATAACATTTGTATATTTTTTCAATGCATTGGTTGGACATATTTGTAGGAGAAGAAATTTTTTATCCTCCGAAGGCTTACAAGAAACCCCAAAGATTTTTCTTTGTGGTTTTTGAAAAAAGAGAAAAACCTTGAAAAACAACTCCGAATTACACTAGGTCATGTTAACAAAGATGATATTAAAAATTTGTGATAAAGTAAAAAGTCTACCAATTTTCAAATTTACCAAGTAAGTGTATCACCTTTATTTTTGCGATGTTTTGTTGTTTGTGAGTGTCTGTGTGTGTGTATGTGTGTGTATGAATGTGTTGTTTCAAGCTCAAATAGTGTGTTATAACATGTATAAGGTTATGTATTAAAGACTAAGTAAAAATGGAAATGGATCCGCTATATAATGAATTTCCCAAACTAAATTTTTTTTGTTTTAAATGAAATGTTGTCTCATATACATGTTGATAATTCTATAAATAGGTCCTTGCATTAATTATCTGAATTAAAAGTTTTGATTGAGGTCTGTTTCTGTGGAGGTTAGAATGCCCCCTTTGTTCTGCTCAAAGTTTTATAAAGTCTTGGATTAGATTTTCATCAATAGAAAAGTATAACAGAAATACCGCAATCCAGGGCAAACCATTAAAAGAGAAGTCCATAAATACCGACCAAATAAAACGCTATTAATCAACGGAACGAGCGAAAAAAAAAAACATCTGCCATATTCCTGACTTGGTATACGCATTTTCCGAAGAAAACCTGGTTTTATAGCTAACTTAACCCTACTTTTATGACAGTCACTTATAGTTCCGTTATATTGACACAATTTGATGACGTCAAGAAAAACATTTTTTGCCGTTGATATTACATACCGTATAATTATATCCACTTTCTCGGTAAAGTAAAAAAAAAAAGTAAATATAAATGCAAGGGATGTGTAAATACCGAGTCACTTCAAAAGGCATACGAATAAAGGAATATAATAACACGAAGAGAAATAAAGGGGAAAGTTAAGTAAAATATAAAACTACACAAGTTCAGCACCGAGAATCTATAACCAAATACCACCTTGTATCATTTGTGAATTAGACACTGACTATTTACCTATTAGGTCTCGGTATTTTCCAATGAACTTGATGAGCAAAGGATGAGACGTTCTTTGACAAAACCCTGGCTCATTATTTGTTTGCTGAAATACCGATTGCGTTTTACAAAGAATGAGTAGCAGCTGCAAGCTCTTGCAAATCGTTTGAGTTCAGAAATGTTTGCTTGCGGGTGAAGTTGTTATATTGCTGCTAAAGTGAGAAAAATTAATAATTTCAAAATTGAAATCGTCTCGTTTGTCATAGATTTTGGTAATGAGATGACCCTGTTGTCAAATTCGAAGTATATGTCTAGAATTTAAGAAGCTGTATCGGTTTTTTTAATTTATAGTTTAGAAAGATATATTAGTCGGACCCAATCAGAAAAAATTGGATTGTTTATGGAAAGAACATCATCAATATACCTGTATGAGAAATTAAATAATCTAGCTTCTTTGATCTTCTTCTTTAAGTATCTGAACGACCTCCGACTCACATGAACACAAGAAAAGGTCGACCAGGAGAGTTGCACAAATGGTTCCTATAGGAATGCAGATAATTGTATTCCAAATTCACATATATTTGATAAAATTTATCATTCTTAAGAGATTTATATAAAAGTTACTAAAGCTCTGGCTAGGGCACGAATTTTTTCCACAAGGACAAACATTATTGTAAACATACATAAATTTAATGAATAGAATGTCTCATACGCATACTATGATCTATAATTACGAAATAAATTTAGGAGTATTGAGGAAAATTGATATTTTTGCTTGGACTTACAAACACAAATCTCACCTACTTATACTAAAATGTTGTAGAAATTTTTAAATTAAGGTGACTATCTGAATTTAGTCCGATCTGAAAATTCTAGCTTTTTTAGCTGTTAATACGATTCTTAAATTTAAAAGCAATTAACCAAACTACCAAATAACCTGGCATTTTGTAAGATCAATAAATATTTGAGATAGCTACAGAGTTTTATTAAAATCCAAATTGATTTGAAAAATTTATAGAAATTTGTAAAGGTGACTATCTGAATTTAGTCTGAATTGAAAATTCTTCCTTTGTTTACCTACTACATATAATTAAATTATAGAATTTGACAGAAATGAGGCAAACTAAGAAATAACTTGGCATTTTGTAAGATCAATATAAAGTGGAGATAGCTGTAGAGTTTTATCCAAATCCAAGATGATTTGAAAAGGTTATAGATTTTTTTTTTAAAGGTGACTTATTTGAATTTAGTCAAAACTGAAAATTCTTGCTTTTTTCAACTTTTAATTGAATCCTTATATTTGACAGCAATTGACCAAACTACCAAAATGACCTGGTATTTTATAAGATCAATTTTTAATTGAGATAGCTGTAGACTTTTCTGAAAATTCAAGTTGATTTAAAAAAGTTATAGACATTTTTTAAAGGTGAGTATCTGAATTTAGTTCAAATCGAAAGTTCTGGCTTTTTTTTACATTTTTATTAAATTCTTAAATTTGACAGCAATAAACCAAACTACCAAATTACCTGGCATTTTTTAAGATCAATATATAATTGAGATAGATAGGCTGATTCAGACCAAGTCTAGAACAGTCGAGAAAATTTTTAAAGTCATGACTGGTCGAGACTGAGTCGAGACTGTCGAGACTTGTCAATCATTTGTCCAGACCATATTCAGACAATACCAAGATGATCAAGTACTCAGTTAGACTTATTAAGTACTGTCGAGATTATGTCGAGTCTTGTCAATTAAAATATGTGCTCGACCTTACAGGTTTAGATCCAAATATGGTCTTTTCAGACTCTGAGCAGTATGTAGTGATAATACAGTGTAAAGTGTAAGGTTTGTTAACGTAGCTTGTTTTTTTTTCGCAACATATAAGTGTCCTTTATAATTACAATATGAAAACAAGGAGATGTGGTATGGTTGCGAATGACGCAACTTTCAAACAAAGTTCAAATGAATGTAAGCATTTGTTTGCACCTGTCCTAAGTCAGGAATCTGATGTTAAGTAGTTGTCGTTTGTTTATGTGGTTCATAAGTGTTTCTCGTTTCTCGTTTTTTATATAGATTAGACCGTTGGTTTTTCCGTTTGAATGGTTTTTCACTAGTAATTTTTGGGGCCCTTTATAGCTTACTGTTCGGTGTGAGCCAAGGCTCCGTGTTGAAGACCGTACTTTGACCTATAATGGTTTACTTTTTTAGATTTTGACTTGGATGGAGAGTTGTCTCATTGGCACTTATACCACATCTTCTTATATCTAATTAAATACAACCATACGGCCTTCAAAAATGAGAAAAGACCATACCGTATAATCGGCTCTATAACGCCCCGACATAAAAATATGAAACTATTCAATTGAGAAAACTAACGGCCTGACTTATTACAAAACAATTTACGAAAAAAAAAAAATTGACAGACCTGAACTAACGACAACCACTGAACAACAAGATCCTGACTTGGGACAGGCACAAAAAGAATGTGGCGGGGATTAAATGCACACACCCTCCTCTAACATAGGACACTGATGTAACGGCACAATACAAGAACAAAATATACAAAACAATAAATAAAAAAGAAAAATGAGCTACAGCAAAATACGATAACAACAACTGCCGGCTCATAAATTGGGACAGGCACATTAAGTTTGTGACGGGGTTCAACATGTTTGATGGCGCCAAACCTTCCCTAACCTTGGACAATGGTGCACCAGTACAAAATGAGTTGAAAAGGGCTTATTTCGTTTGAATTGTTTTATATTTTTCATTTCGGGGCATTTTATAGCTGACTATGTGGTATTGGTTTTGCTCATGGTTGAATATCGTACGGTGACCTATAGTTATTAAATTCTATGTCATTCGGTCTCTGGTGGAGAGTTGTCTCATCTTCTTATTTTTATATTAACTCATCAGATCGATATAAAGCAGAACGTTATCTTACAAAAACACAAACCAGACTTTGCAGGAAATTTGTACATCCCTCACAACAATATAGACACTAAGTACAGATCTGAGAGTACTCACACTTGCTGACAGCTGCTTCAAAACCAAACACAACTAATACAAAAAACCTCATGTTTATAAAACTAAATTATCAATCAGTACACACTCAACATCCAACAGATTTAGTTACAGTTGGTAAAAGTATTGTTTATATGTTCTTACTTATATAGATACATGTAGTTAACTGTGTTGGTCGTAAATGAAAACAAAGGACATAAATAATGAAAGAGTCATAA